CTTCTTCTTCTTCTTCTTCTTCTTCTTCTTCTTCTTCTTCTGCTTCGTCTTCTCCTTCTTCTCCTTCTTCTCCTTCTCCTTCTTCTTCTTCCTCTTCCTCAACTTCATCATCATTAACAACAAAATCTGTTAAATCTGAGCCATTGTCATCAGGATCTGAAAATTCAGATTCCGATGCTCTACATTCATCTCCCGGTATATCATCATCTGAGAATTTTCTAGTTTTACCATCAAGATTATATTCTGCTTTAATATCAGAATCTATACTTATATCTGAAAATTTGCCTTCGACGGATCCATCATCACTATCGTTATCCTCTTCATTTTTTTCTTTATCATCCTCCTTATGTCTAAATAAGAAACGAGGAATTCTGGGAGTATTATTTCTTTTATTCGAATCCACACTTTCATCACAAGAATCGGAAAAATCTGAACCAATATGCACCATTGTAGAGTAATTTGGATTAACTCTTTTTTTTCCACTTCCTAATTGTAATTGAGTAAGTTTATTTTTATCGCATTCTGAATTATTATCATTTTCTTCTTCCTCGCTCGAAGAAATGTTTAATCTGTTGCGTTTTTCAGATTTTAATTTTAATTTATTAGTTTTATTTATTGAGCTATTTAATGAGCTATTTAAGGAACGAATTTTATTTTGCTTTTTATCTAATGACGACCGTTTAAGCTTACTTTCTGATGGATTTATTTCTACTTTATTGACATCAACCGTAGCTGTAGCTTCTACATTTTCAGATACTTTTTGTGTTAAAGATATTTCTTTATCATATTCTTCTTCTTTATTTTCTTCTTCTTCCAATTGTTTATCTAATGACTTTGTTAGTTCGCTTTTGCTAACATTACATGAAGACCTGCTTCGTGATTTTTCTTTCTTGGACGTACTATGTGATGATATATTCATATCATTTTTATCAGTAATCGTTTTATTAATTGATTTATTGGAAATTTCTTCTATTTCATCCACATCTTGTACTTCCTTACTTAACTGCGTGGAACTGATATTAGATTTTTCTGTATTTTCTTTGATCTCAGAATTATTATCATTGTCCTGTACTGTATCCTTAGATTTTATTTCTTTGTTATTCGTATTACTCAATTTATCATTTAGGTAATCCAATTCAGTTTTTAATATAATCGTATCATCAGAGTCATAATCGAATGTTTCTTTATTTTTTATGGCTTTTAATTTTTCTGCAGCTAACCATGCTTGTTTATCTACTAAAAGAAGATCACATTCTGTTTCACTATCAGTTTCCAATTTTACTGTTGTCGCCGAGTTTACTGAATTATCTTGAGTTTCAGTATTAATATTCTTACTTTTCTGTTTCCATTTATCAGCAGAGATATCTTGGAACAATTCCTTTATATTTGAGACATCATCATCACTATCCTCATCACCTTGGACATCATCCTTCTTCTTTTTCTCATTTGACTTTAATATACTGGATTCAGTAACTAATTTCTTTTTATTTACTGGTGTTTTTGGTAATGATCTTATTTTAGATTCCTTTTCCTTATCAGGTAAATCTGCTTCTGGTATGTCATGGGACTCTGTAACAGTGGAAGAATCAATTTTTTCAGAAATAGAATTGGAAAGTTCTGAAGATTGTAATTTTAATGAACATTTAGTTGAATTTGCATCATTGGGAAGATCCTTAATTGAATCATTGCTCATTTCTAAAACAAGACATGATTCAATTGTTGATTCAGTAGATATATTATCTTGATTATCATTGGTAGAACAGTCAATATGTTCAGTAACAGTTGAATTTTTACAAGTAGAAACAACTTCAGCAGTTTGATCGCATTTTTTCTCATTATTCTCAACATTTGATATTTCAGTTGCACTTACGTCATTACTACAATTATCCTTCTTTGCAGATGTATCTGTAAGAATCTCTTTTGGATTTACAGATACATTTGCCTTATCTTTAATTTCATCTTTACCATTTGTCTCTTCTGTATCACTTTTGTTCTGAATAATAGTTTCTAAACGTTGTTCTTCTTCAATAATTGTTTTAATTTGTATCTGACTGCTATTATCATCATTTATTGTAGACTGTTCTTTTGGTATGGAATCTTCTTCATTTATTAACACTTTATGTGATACGGTATTCGACTCATTTAAATTCTCAATAGTTGACTTATTCTTTTTCTCATTATTTGAGCTACTTGTTTCATGTACTTTTTCATTCGATGAAATTTCTTCAGTACTTGATACGGATACACGTTTATTTCCTTTCTCTAAATTGTGAACATTGTCAATATTTACATTACTGTTATTTATTACTGTATTATTAGAATCCAATGAACCCATTGAAGATTCTGTTAAGCAGGAACCATCTAATTTTATATTATCGTTGTTTTCTACATCACTTTCTACATTTTTATCTTCTTTCATTGATGTATCCATTACAACTGTAGAAGTTTCTTTGCGTATGTTTTTTGGATTAACTGTACTTTTATTCTGTTCAGACATTGAATTATTTACATTAGAACATTCATTTTCTTCATTGCTGGAATTCATTCCTTTTTCTTTCTCTATAGAAACATTTAATGTATTTTCACTTTTTGAAATTATTTCTATCAACGAATCTGTTGAGACATCTTTGGTTAATACAACAGCAGGATTTTCATCTTTCTTTGGGGTATTTATTTTATCAGATAATGAATTTTTAGAAGCTTCACTAATTTCCGTCCGATTATTTTGAGAAGAATCATCAACTAGTCCTTCAGCTGTTATGAATGTAAATGTGTAATGTGAAAATCATGTTAAATAAATTAAACATAAGACAAAATATTTAAATTAAATAATAATAAATTATTTTTTGTAAATTAATATACACAAGTATAGAGGATACACATTCTTTTTTTATACTTACACACAGCGTATATCATTATAAAACTAAAAAGCTAAATAGAAACTAATATAGCGTATGATTATAATATAAATCTTACCGGAGTTAAGATCCTTTTCTTCTTGTATTTTATCAGTACTCTTAATCTTCTCAAAAGATTTATTTTGTTGTGATTCAGGCGTTGTTTCATTAGTTGTGATTACCTTCGTAGGTGCTACAATTTTGAACGAGAAAATAAAAAGACATTATAATTATAATAATTAGAAATCATACATGAATTTATATAGAAAAAATAATATCACTAACTTTCATCAACTTCAATTACCATCTTCTCTAATTCTACAACTGGAATTTTTTCTTCTTCCTCTATGAGAGTTGATTGAGATGGTAATATTGATGCTCTTCTTTTTACTTTTATCGGTGTATTTATTCTGCTTTGAGTTTCTTCGATTGTTTCTTCAAGTGTTAGTTCAGGATCCATAGAACTAGCTCTTGTTTTACGAGTTGATCTTAAAGGTGTAGATGCTATTTCTGATCCAGCCCTTGTTAACCGTCTAGTAATAATGAAGAACATATAAGCATAAATGCATTTCATATTTCTATAAGATATATATATATGTATATATATTTATACTTAGGCCGGGTATCAGCTTTCGGTGTATCTGGAGCAATCGTTGCTGCTACGCTTCTTCTTGTCATTTTTTTTGGTTGTGCTTCTGAAGACAATGTATCCAATGTATTCGAGTCTCGTGTACCTCCACGAAGATTATGTGTACTTGTTTCCGTAATTAATTCATCCAAGGAAGAGGAGCTGGATTGTTTCGCAGACATTTTATTTCTATTACTGCGACGGACTGGTGAATCTGTTACAAGATTTGCAAGTGCTCCACGAGTTCTGCGACCTACCATTTAAACATTAAAAAAAAAAAAAGTCCTTTTAGAACAACAACAAAATAAAGAAAAAAGATCAATCATTTATTCGAATAATATAACGAATTACACTAAAATAATAATAATAATAATAATAATAATAATAGCAACAACAATATTAATAACTATATTGAGGATACTCAGACTATTATACACCAGTGTAGATTGAATCAGTATTGTTTAATTGCATGATTGAATTTAACGATTTATGATTTTAAAAAAAAAAAAGAAGAAAGAAAAAAAAAAGAAAGAAGAAAAGAGAGAGAAAAAAAAGAAAAAAAAAGAGACATTTAATAAGATCGAAACTATAACGTTCTGAATTCTTTTTTACCTTCTCCAACTTCCCTACGACACATTTATTAATAATAATAATAGCGTTAAATTACTTTTTACAAAATACTAAATTCATTATTAAGCCTTCTGGAAAGTTATCACATAGGCTGATCACGAAAAGTAATATTAATCAAAAGATACAATGATTGTTTATGTAATATATAATAGATATTAATATTTTCATTATTTTAACGTAAAATATTGATATTAACAAGTACGCTTTGAATATAACTGTAGCAGATTTGTGTCGACAAAAGTTCGAAAAAAGGTCGAACACTGTTCGACCGTTATATGAAGTTGACCCGGTCTATAGCTCTGCGCATGATAAAGAAAAAAGATATATAATACGAACCAATTTTCGATTCCACATCTTCGTCACAATCTTTTACTGATCGCGGCATTGTAATATTATTATTTTAATAAATATCACATACAATTAAACGGTTATTAAAAGAAAAAAGGAAAGCCAAGAAAACACGTGTTTTTATAAGAGTACGTTAACCAATGGAAAATACTTTTCTACAATCCGGCGCGATATTTATTTGACTATCTGTGGAAACATCACTAACGACATCTTACTGATATTTTTTAAATTATTTACAAATTTTCGATCAGAAACAATGAGAAAATCAATAATTGTTCACGCACATTTATGCCTACAAAATAACATTTCACTCATTAATGCTTAATATATTTTTTAATTTTTAAAAAGAAGATATAATTATTGGACTTTTTAAAATATTTATACATCTGTGAAACACATTATAACTATATACCTATCAGCATTGCCTCATGTGTAGCTGACCAATGAGAAAGTGATTCTACAAAACTGAATGCTGATTGGTTGATTTTAAATATTTATGGTTAGATAATAAATATAGATTAATACAGAATAATAAATATATATGTTTCTATTAATTTATAAAAAATTGTCTATATATTATAATTAAATATATAAAATATTTTATTTATGTATATAATATATATATATACTTATATACAAGTCAGAATAAGTTTAACTTTTTTTATTATAACATTATTATTTATTGTGAAAATTCTTATGAAATAAATAATAATTAAATATTAGTCGTTTTCTAAAAAAAAAAAATATGAATATTCAACTGAAGAACATAATATGAAGTCCTATGCCTCAAGCCCGGCTAGCTCAGTCGGTAGAGCATGAGACTCTTAATCTCAGGGTCGTGGGTTCGAGCCCCACGTTGGGCGTAATTTTTTTTGGTAAATTTATATCATTACATTTTTATTAATATTTATTTGCATAAAAAACATCATATTTTTTATTTTTGCAGTTTTTCTACTATTTTTAAACATTTAAAATTGACCGTATTAATAATATTATTAAACTAGTGATGTACAAAATATACAATTTATTTTTTTGTATTCAATGATATTTATAATAATTGTTAAAAATTGCTTCTAATAAAACATGTGTTAAATAAAATCAAATTAATTGACGCGCTTACGTTAATTAATTTTTACGTTAAGTAATTTTAATTGTTAAAAAATTATCGATATAACGTTTGTTTTTTTATCCAGTGGCCCATTTACAACGGAAATATTATCGACCCAGATGATGACTATGGACCATACCCAAAACCCATGGATTGTATAACTTGACCTATTTTCTTACGGCTTATAGAGGGAAAGAAAAAATGTAAGAGAATCGATATACAGAAGCATATTCAGCACTTTTTATTCGTACCAGATTAAATATTCTATCCTGTCTAATTCAATGATGAATAACATTGTAAGTATAACATAATTTTGTCATTAATCATAGTAATTTTAACCGAAATAATATATACATATATATAAATTACATCTACGTGCAAAATTGATATATAACAAATTTTTGTTGAATTCAAAATTATATAATATAATTATAATTATTATTTTTATCTAAACGTTATTCTCTCAGACAATCATACAAATTAATAAGGATCTCGTTTATCTACAATAAGAGAAGTGAGACGATTGTTTAAGAATATTGTGTGAGAGAAAAAGAAAAATAAAGTCTTATTCATTTCCTCTCTTCAAAGGTTAATAACATCAGAAAATTATAAATACTCTCGCTTTTCTCTTTGTCTTCGAATAAGACAGAGTAGTTGAGGTCTCCTTTGGGAAAACGATTCAACGCAAATTAACGTACCATTTTAGGTATAACAATCGATTAATAGTGTCTGAGATCGATCTGCTAACGCATTGTATTATGCATTTTAATGTAGTTATTATCTCGATAATGTTAAGAAAAACCATTATTGTTCATACCGGATTTAACGATTAGATTTCATCCTGTCGTACTAATCCATGGGAATATGAGGCAGGTCAGTCAGGAAGCCTCTAAAAATACTAGTTTCATGGGATAGCTATTTTGACGATACTTCGATAAATTATTTAGGTCATACGTAGATGAAAAGAGGTCACCTACGATTTCGTAATAAAAAATACATGATATTTTACGTTTAATTTTAAATAGAATTAGAAAAATCTTCATCAGAGTGTCATAATACCTTTTGTTGTCGTATAACTACAATAAGAAATGTAATAGGTTTACTATTTCAATAATATAGAAAATGTGTTTTTATTGGAAAAGTGGATTATAATAAGAAATGGGGGTTGGGGAGGAGGGGTTAAAGAAGAAGTTATTGTTTATACGAGTAAAGAACGGAGAATGTTAGGCGTCTGCGCATCGGGACTCATGCTATGTATAGCCAATGATATGCCCGATGCCAGGGCACCGGTTCCTTCGTGCGAATTATATGTTCATTGTAGACCTAGTAATCGGCCAACGCAGACGTTGTACAAGTCTTAAAGTGCGACTATATTATAAATAAACTCTAATGTATAGCTTCTTCAATTAATATTTTTTTTCAGAAGAAAACGAACGAACGAAAAAAAAAAAAAGAAAAAACCAAATCGCGCTCAAACGTACGATATATAACAATACATGCAACAACAACAACAACAACAACAACAACAAGAAAAAACACAAAAGAAAATAAAAAAAAGTATAAAAATTTGTCATAATCGTATTTAATATAATGCTCGTCGAGTAAGCTCCACGTTAATAGACAGTGCTTATTTAACGAGTGTTTATTGTGAATAAAAAAAAAAAAATAGAAAAAGAACACGAAATGTTTCCTATGTTTTTTAAGTGAATGAAAATCATTATATTTTTTTTCTTTTCTTTTTTTTTTTTCTTCTTTCAGTTAGTGCACATTCTCAGTGAAGTTTGTTATCAAGGAAAATACGGTAAAAGGTATATATATATATATATATAAAAGGTATTCGTAAGCATAAATCTTAGGAAAGTATGTGTGTGTGTGTGTTTAAACATTAGTATTAATTCTTATTACGAGTTCATACAGAGAAGTTATAAATTTCGGTAGACATGAAAGGATGATAATCTACCGAAGTACCTAAGAACATGGCAGTGGCAAAAATAAATATTTCATTTCTACGAGATAATCTTCACCTTAGTACCGGTTGTTAGCTACGGGAACGCCAATTGTTTAATCATTGATAATTATTTGCAAGGTGGTTTGTTAATACTGTCAACGATGATTATTTATTCGCGCCTATTTGTTCTGACATTGGTTATTATTATTTCGTAACGCAACTCTTGTAAATCGTTACTTCCTCCTTTATCATTATTATATTCATATTTATTATTACAACATCTTATTGTTTTCTATATAATTTACATGATTTCCAATTGGTAGGGATATTAGGATAGGTTTTTTTAGTTTAAAGTTTGCTAGATATTCTTTAATTTTTTTTTGTTCAGTCATTGTTTAATCAATGTTCTCTTGAAAAATTAATCCGTTTGAATTTTCGTTTGTCAATGATCACCAATATCTCGGCAATATTTTTTTTGTCTCCTTATAAAAAAAAAAAAGAAAAAAAAAACATTTCGTTAGTATCCCATGAACAGTAATTTTCTTTATTTAATTAATAAAATCAATAAACTATCTGATTGTCAATTTATTTTATCGTATAATAATATATAATAATATCTTTTGTTTAATCGTAACACGTTCACACAATTTCTAAATAAAATTAATAATAAATTAATTAATCGTTCATACATGAGATTCAAAGAAATTAATAAAACGTTATCTTATTTCAATATTTGTTTCTACGTTTAAATGTGAATTATTTAAATGCAAATTTTAAATTACGTTGTCACCACACAATAATTATTTCCTATTACTAATATTTTATAATTTTATTCCTTAAAATATCGACAGTATCATAGGTGTACATATTTCATATTAGTCTAACACAATTTAGTAAGAATGATAATCTTATTAATAACATTTTATTAGGTTTCCGTCTGATCATTTCAAACCCAAACTACTGCGAATCGATCGATAACCTTTTAGAACATATTACTACGATATCGTAGATAAAAGTTTCCCTAAATAATCAAATCAGACAGGTGTATGATATCACAATCAGGTATGAACCACTACTATGTTATCCTAATTGTAAACTTGATTTATATTTTTTTGTGTTTAATTCGTATTCATTGCATTTAACTTACATTTAAATTTATTTACATTGAGAATCAAAAATGAGATCGTGAATCTTTTGTTTTTTTTTTTTGCAATATTTAAGCATAGATATTATTTGTGGTATCACAAAATCGTTATTTTCATTCGGAACACCAAGCTGGATTTTGCGCAAAGAGAACGACCACATACACACACACACATACACACCAGTCGAGTCAGTCCTCTGTCCCTCCTTCCTCTGAGGGGGAGTACTTTAACAGAGAATGTAGATAGGTATCCTTATATATATGTGTGTGTGAGTGTCAAACTGCAGACTGAGGTAGAAAGTATTGATCACTCCTGTACTTGTCCTACGTTGGTCACATCAAAAGGTTACTTTTTTCCTATACTCAAAGATAAATCATTAAAAAGTCAGATAAATTCGATGATAAACGATATCGATATTATCGATTTAATGAAACTCTCTTTATTATAGTCAAAGAAATTCTTCTAATCGTTTGAAAGTATTTAACGTGTCATCAATACGATGAATAATTACACGAAGGGGAAACAAAAAATATTTAGGGAGTACCGAGTTTGCACCTGAAATAGCATTAAACGTGTTAACTCGGTGCATAATACGATCGTAAACTCATATGTTTCTCATTTTACCATATTACGTACGATTCTTGTATTATAAAATGCGTGAATGAGTCACAAAGAGATCGAGAAATTGTTACTAATCGTACGGTATAATTCTACGCTCGAAGAAACAATTACCATTGAAATGAATCCGTTTAGACTTGATCTTTAATTCGACGTGACGTATCGATAAACCGTTAATATATGTTTTTAGATAATATATACGTGTGTAACACGTATTTGTATGTATGCATATGCATAATGTTTGTAAATATAGGAAAAGAAATTTTTTTTCCTCTTCTCTTAAAAAAAACAATATTGTATTTTCTTTATCGTTCTTTTTCTTCTTCTTTTTTATTCTCTCACTCACCCTTTTTTTTTTTAAAAAATCATCATCATCATCACGTTAGCCCAAAAGATGATATCATTGAATAAAAACATTATATCTTACTCTTACTTTTGTACTCTGTGCGATTTTAATGGTATCAAATGAACACACGTGCGTGTCGTGGAAGCACGAATTAATCCTCATAAATTTGTATACTCTTAACTTAACTATTATGTATGCAGATTATGTATATATATATATTATACATACTTAAACATTTAAATATATATATATATATATATACATATTATGTACGACAAAGTATTATATGCAAATACGATACACGTTATTACATACTTTAATCTAAACTTTACGTTTGCTAATATCAAAAATGTATCTATTTATTATCTATATTATATCATTTAAGTGTTTGAAATTATCTAAATACGTCTAGTTATATTCTTAAAGGTAAAAAAAAAGAGGATAACTTGTATTCGTTTGTTTGAAATGTTTAAATGAATGAATATTGTTGGGAAAATTTTTGCATTTAATCATCTATTTTAATATAACGATAAATAGATACATAAATTAGTATGATTCATCTGAATCTATGTGGAAATTTTAACAATTCTCTGTGTGTTGTTCTTTTCCATGACTGATTATCTTTCTTTCCCTCTCACTCTTGTTAATTTCCTCTTTTTTTTTTTATTCATATCTATTAGATTTCTAATTCATAAAATATTACATTTTTCGACCGCGAAATTGTCCAGGAAAAGAAGAAAGGAAAAAAAAAAAACAAGATAAATACAGATAATAATCGATTAATCGGCAAGTTTTTATTTCATTGTGTTGTACGTTGCGGTCACGTGGTTTCCTGCACGCCGGATGCTGGCGGTCGCATTTAAAACGACAAAAGTACACGGTCCTATTCGATGTCAGTTCATTTCGCGTTTATCCATCGTCCGAACTGAAACGCGAGATGTTCCTATTATTTATTCAAAGTTTTTCGTATTGTCAATAATATTTTTTTTTATTCTCGAGTGAACAAAATTAATTACTATAGTAATATCTACGTGGAATCATATCACACGTCTATTCAAGATTCACGTTTGCTTAGTGGATTTGTTGGATTTGTTCAAAATGACCGGTAAGATTTCGTTAATCTTGTATTTTTGATTAATTTTTATTTTTTATTATTAATAAACTTTCTCTTTCACAACCGTGAACAATTTGCGAGTATAAAATAATTGATGGTGTTTTCTAATTATGTGCCGAGTTGAGATACACGCGCGAACATTCGTAAATTCGATATTTTCGCGATAAGAGAGTTTGTATTATATTTTTATTTATTTTTTTTTTAATAAGAGACAATATTTTTCTATCAAAATTTTAATGAAGTTTTTTGCATATAAATTATTCGTGATATTTTTCACATTATCTATTACAAATATGTTTTTAATTATGAACTTTTTCAATATGATCGATAAACATTGTGATAAACTAGAAAATGTTTCTATCAAAATTACAAACAAATTAATACATAAATTAATTTATATTATCTCTAACACTTTTGACTATCTATTTGAAATATGTGTTTTACTTATAAGATTTTCCAATATAACTGTGATAAACAATTCTATAAATCATCTTTTCTTTATATATATATTATTTATCTTATTTTAATCTGGAAAATGTTTCTATGTTACAATTTTATTAACGATCAGAGAAAAGTTCACAATAATATTACAAATTGTTCCTAATTAATAATGAAAATTTCGTGAGATACTATTTAAAGAAATCGTTAATGAAGCAGGAATGAATTGAAATCGAGCTAAGTATTACGATGCAATTAAACGAGAGAACCACGAAGAAACCATCATTATCTCCTCAACTAGAAGCTTTATTATGCAAGATAGGTGTGCGCCTTACAATCGGTACAGCTGTCATAAATGTGTGCGGACCAGAATGCGATCCAATATTGATCGCTGTACTGAGTCATAAAATTCCTTGAAACAGATCTCGTTGATGGAATAAGAAATAGTTAGAATGAAAGAGGGAACTTCGATTTTTAACTGATACAATAGAATAATTTCGATCATAAGAGTTAATGACGTTTTATAGTAATTAATAAGAAATTAATTCCATACTCGTTTGTGTTGCGATAGTTCTCTTTTCAAATGAAAATATTATTAATAAGTAATTTATATAACCTATATATTTATTTATTTAAATTATAAATATATTTGTAAACGTTTGAAAAGAAATAATTTAGAATAAATTTATTCACGTTCGTTACTATCGTTATAATATCGAACAACTTGACTTATTTAGATATCATTTTTTTTTTTCCTTTTTTTTTTTTTTTTTTTT